GGATATTGGAGTTGGATAATAGGATTGGCTATTAGGGATGGATATTAGGGATAGGTATTTAGGTTGGATATTAGGGATGGATATTAATGTTGGATATCAGGGCTGGAAATTAGGGTTGGATATTAGGACTGGATGGATATTAGGTATGGATATTAATGTTGGATATTTGGGTTGGATGTTAGGACTGGATGGCAAGGTTGGATATTTTGAATGGATACTGGGCTTGGATTATTAGGGATGTATAGCAGGCTTGGATATAAGGATTGGATATTAGGGGTGCATATTAGGATTGAATATTAGGGTTGGAAATTAGGGATGGATAGTAATGGATATTTGGGTTGGATATTAGGGCTGGATTTAGGTATGGATATTGCTGTTGGATGTTGGGTTTGAATTTTAGGGATGGATACTGAGTTTGGATATTGGAGTTGGATATCAGGGTTGGAGATCAGGATTGGATATCAGGGGTGGATATTAGGGTTGGATGTTAGGACTGGAATTAGGGATGGATATTACTGTTGGATATTAGGGCTGGAAATTAGAGTTGGATAATAGGGCTGGGATTAGGGATGGATAGTAACAGATATTTGGGATGGATATCAGAGTTGAAATCAAGGTTGGATATTTGGGATTCTCTGACCCTTCTCAAGGGACTTTTGGGGCCCTTGATTCCCAGGGCAGTTTCCTGGGAAGAGGGTGGACCAAACCCCCGCCTCCCCCTTCTGATGGGCCCTTTCCCTTCTCCCACAGGTCCAAGTCGCCGCGTTCCTGCCTGGAAAAGCGAGAGACCACTTCCTTATCCGCTGTATTCTCTTAAATCCCACAGAAACACTTCTCCTTGCGAAACCCTTTTGTTTTGTAAGATAAGACAAGTCTGAGCAGTTCTGAATCCCAGACGCAAGAGATTCCAGCATTCCCGAGGGAAAAAAAACCACAAAAAACCCACGGAACCCAACGAGAAAAAAACGAAACAAAAAAGTGCAACTTTTGGAGGGATGACTCTCTTTGAACATATCAAGCAGAATGTCCAACTTGGAATTCCGAGACTGAATGGCAATCTTTTTCCACACTGTGGGACAATGCATTTGTGCCTAAAATTCCTTGGTTTTTTTTTGGGTTTTTTGGGTTTGAGGTTTTTTTTTTCGTTTTTGTTTTTGGGGTTTTTTTGGGGGGTTTTTTTTGGTGGTTTTTTGGTGGTGTTTGGGGTTTTTTTGTTTTGTTTTTGTTTTTTGGGGTTTTTTTTTGACAAAAAAAAACAAAAAAGGGAAAAAAAAACAAAAAAAGAGAAAAAAAACCAAACAAAACAAAGAATTTGTAAAAGCCTGAGGATTTAAAAAAAATATTTAATTTAAAAACAAACAAACAAAAAGGTAAACTTGCAATAATGATAAAAAGTGTACTTCTGAAGAGGGGAAAAACGAGACAAAAAATGAGGGAAAACGACGGAAAATGAGGTTTTTTTGTTTTGGGGGTTGGTGTTTCTGCTCTTTATCCGCCGGAATGAGATATTCCCAAAATATTCCTGAAACCAGCAAAAACGTCCCGATGAAACAAAACGGAAAAAAAAATAGAACCTGAGAATTTTAGCCATTCCTTAGGGTAGGAGAAACAGATGGATCTTATAGACCTATGACAAATATATATATATAAATATATATATAAATCTATATGAGAAATTTAGTGGAGATGATGGGTAAGGTTTTGTTCCTTCGGTTCCGACTTTTTTATTTTGGCTCCTGTAAAAAAAAAAGGGAAAAAAAAGGAAAAAAACCACGACAAAATGACAAAAAAAAAGGAGAATAGGATTAACTTTTTTAAGAAAAAAAAGACAAAAAGAGAGCTTTTCCTGTAAATACGGAATTTTTCAGAGGGGGACTTCTCCCCCTTCTTTTCCTTGTTTTTTTATTATTGTTATTTTTGGGTTTTTCCCCTGTTTTCCTGGAGCCTGGAGTGCCGACTCCACGCCAAGCAGGTGGAACCACTGGCCCCGCCATTGCTTCTCATCTGTAACAAATTTCCTGGGATTTTTGGGGGCAGAGGGTGGGGGTGGGAAATTTAAAAATGCAAACAAAAAAACAAACAAAAAAAAGCCGGATTTGGGCCCTGTTTTTTTCCGGGATTTTCCGAGGTGCAAGGTTAGGATGCTACAATGTTACCACTGTGCCTTCCAATGTTTCTCCATCGGCAAAACATCCCATCCTCCGAGTGGCTGATTCCGCGTTCCCTCTTTGTGTAGCGATTCCAGGGGCTGGGAGGGGGAGGGGAGGGAGGGGGGAATTCCAAGGAGTGGGATGGATCGACTCCATGTGCGGACTTTTTCCCCCCCGTCGTTTTCCTCGTTTCCGAGTGGATTTTTTTTCCCCCCGAGCGCCTCGTTTTTGTTGTTGTTTTTTTTTTTTTTCCGTGGGAAATGCCAATTTTTTGGGTCCTAACGAGCCTTATGAGTCCTAAAGCATTAAGTTGCACTTTGTCCAGGAGGGGGTTGATTCCCGGAATTCTCTGGCCAGTACAAAGGAAGTTTTTCCCGACCACGCCGCCGGTGGCACCGCAGCTCCGAAGTCTCGGCACAACCCGACTTCCAGAGTGACTCCCAATCCTGAGTGACTTTGGTGTACAGAACCACGCCAGTGCTCATTAAATATTTATCAGCATCCCTTTCCGTCTCCAATCCCATTTTTTTCCCAGCCCGGCGTGGCTTCCCAATCCAACCCCCCCCCTCCCCCTTTGTCCGAGTCGAATTCCCGCTGAATAAACGCCATAAATCCATCCCCGAAACGGTCTAAACGTTCCATCTGTTCTCCTGGTTTGCCAGTTTTCCAGAGGCCTGGGAACAAAAACAAACCAACCAACCACAGACAAAAAGAGAGACGTTTGTACGTTTTATGCAACAAAACCCGGCCCGGCCGGATCGTTATTTTGGAATTGTGTATGTAAAAGTTCTATTTTTCCATGTAGATTCTCGTTATTCCGTGTTTTCCTACATTGTGTCATGGTCGGGGCATCGCGGTGGGTTTTTTTTTCCAGTGGATCGAATTCTGGGTGGTTGAACGAACAAAAAAGAATCCCATGGAGTGTCCTTGAAGGGAAAGAAAGAAACGGAATTTTCCCATTTTCCTGCAAAAAAACGAGTAGAACAAACCCAATTCCCCACGTGCTCCCAGAGAATCCATTCAGGAAACTTCCCGGCTTTTGAGGTGTTGATAAGTTGCCAAAATGTGGAGGTGGAGTCAACTGGGAAAAACCAAGCCTGGGCTTAAATCCAGGCAGGAATAAGGCTGGACTCGGAGCTGGGCTTAGCTGAGGGAGGGTGAGAATTCTGGAATTCCAGAGCTGGGAAGAGCATGATGCCAAGGAACACGAGCCATAAATCCCATTTCCCAGGAGGTCTCAGCCCTGTTGGATCATGTCAGATTGGGGTATCCGAGTGTGTCTCTCCACCGGGATCAGGCTCAGGATTGGGATCAGCAGGAAATTGAGATTTCAAGGATTGAAATGCTGGAAAACCCCAACTTGATATTTATTAAACCAAATTTGTGGATGGAAAAGAAGTGAGGAATTTCGGGAAAAGAAATGAGGAATTTCATCCCTGGAACTGGAAAAAAGCGAGGGAAATGTTTCCTTGCTCCGTCCATCCGACATGCTCCCTCAGCCAGCCTAGATGGAAGAGCTGAAGATCCTGCTCCGGATGAGCCAAGATTTAACAAAACCACTCCCCCTTGAGTGTCTGATCCATAATTTTTCCATGTTTTCCCAGCCCAGGGAAGGCCTGCGTGTCGTTCTCCGAAGCCATGGAGGTTTTTATTCCCCGTGGGAATAAAACCAGGCTGAAAACTCCCCAAGAAAAGGCAAAATCCCGATTTTTTTAGCAGCTTTTTCCCGCCTGGATCCACCTCCACATGGCAGGAATTTATGGATCTGCTGGATTGGGAATGTTCAGCTGGAGCTGCATTGAGCTGCAAGGACGCTCCAAGTGCCAGCAAGGCAGCTTGTAGTGATTCAGTCTTCCGAGGTTTTTTGGGATTGTTTTCCAGGATTTCGGGGGGCTAGGAGGGGGGGAAGGTGCCAGAAAGGGTGGTCAGGGAGAACTTATCCATATCCAGACTCCAACAATCCTGAGCAGTGCCAGGAATGAGGAGATTTCAATGGAAAGAAGCACAAACTCCCGAGGAAAAAAAACAACAAAATTAAAAAAAAAAAATAAGGGGGGGGGGAAATTGAAAAAGCCTGGAGGAAAAAAAAAATCAGGAAAATTCCAGCTTTTCCACTAGTTGACTGGAAAAAAAAGAACTTGGAGGTGGAAAGGTGGAATAGTGAGAAATTCCAACACAACGAGGCACTGGGGCCTGGGAAGGCCCAAGTTTTTTCTTCATTTCTGACTTTTTTGGGTTGATTTTGTTTTATTTTGTTTCTTTGGTTTTTTTTTCCCCAAAAACCCCACTTTTTTGGTTCTTTTTTTTGCTTGTATTTTGTTTTTCCTCTGGGACTTCAAGTCGCCTCATGTTTGTGCAGCGCTGGGCGTGGCCCCTCCTCATTTTCGAGTATTTTAGCCCTTCTGTAATGGTGAGAAATGATTATGAACTGTGGCCTTTTTTCCTTCTTGTTACTTGTGATGCAATTTCGGTGAAAAAAATAAGAATTAAAAAACAGGAAAAAAAAAGGTAAAAAAAAAACACTGAAAAAGCCTAAAAAAAAAAAAAAACACAAACAAAAAAAAAAGTGAGAGGTTTTACCATGTATCAGTGCCTGGCTTTTTGTTATAAAGCTTCGTTTGTCTAGTGCTCTTTTGGAATAAAATAGACGTAGGACACCCTTGTAGGATGGAAAAACTAGAGAATCCACCTCAGTTTACCAACAAGAAAAAAAAAATAAATATATTTGGCTTATTTTTCACAGGAGCGATTGCCTTTTCTGCCAGGAGAAAAGAGAAAGAGAAAGAGAGAGATAAATAAAATAAGGGGAAAAATATAAGGGGAAAAAAATAAGGAGAAAAATATAAGGAAAAAAATAAGGGGAAAATATAAGGGAAAAAATAAGGGGAAAACTATAAGGGAAAAAATAAGAGAAAAAATAAGGGAAAAAATGCGGGGAAAAAAATAAGGAAAAAATATAAGGGAAAAAATAAGAGAAAAAATAAGGGGAAAAATAAGGGGAAAAAAGGAAAAAAGATTAAAAAATAAGGGCAAAAAATAAGTGAAAAAAAGAAAAATAAGAGAAAAAAGGGAAAAATAGGGGAAAAAAAGGAAAAAAGAGGGAAAAAATAAGGGAAAAAAGGGAAAAATAAGAGGAAAAGGGAAAAAAATAAGGGAAAAACTATATAATAAGAAAAATATAAGGGAAAAATAAAGAGGAAAATATAAGGGACAAAAAGAAAAAATGTTAAAAAAAAATAAGAGAAAAAAGGGGAGAAAAGAGAAAAAATAAGGGAAAAATCGGGGGAAAATAGGAGAAAAAATAAGGGGAAAAAAGGGGGAAAAATAAGGGGGAAAAGGGGGAAAAAAATAAGGGGAAAAAAGGGGGGGGAAAATAAGGGAAAAAATGGGGAAAAAATAAGGGGAAAATAATAAGGGGAAAAAAAGGGAAAAAATTATGGAGATTGGTTTCATCTGTGCGGGACTTTCCGGAGCAATAAAGGTGCCCTTGGGACAAAGTGACACCGCATTGCTCCTTCCGGGAGTGGGAGTGGGGTGGGAATGGGGATGGGAAGGGGAACTGGGTGGGAATGGGAAGGGATGGGGTGGGAATGGGAATGGGGAGGGGATGGGGATGAGGTGGGAATGGGGGAAATGGAGGGACAGGTTGGGAATGTCTTTGTTCTGTTATGGAGAATACATGGAACATGTGGAATACAGGGAATATAGGGAACATATTTTATCTATAGGATATAGAAGATATATAGAATATATTTCATATATAGGATATAGAGAATATATTTTAGATATAGGATACATAGCATATATTTTTTATATAGGATATATTTTATATCTAGAATATCGGGAATATATGGAATATCTTTAATCTGTAGGATATATAGGATATCTAGAATATATGGAATATGTTTTACATATAGAAAAACAGATAATATTGGTAATACAGGTAATGTGTAGAATATAGATTTAACAGATAATACGGATAATAGATAAGAGATAACAGGTGACATGGATATATAATGTACATGTATAGAAAAGAAATTATACAAAGAATATAAATAGTAGATGAGAAATAATAGAGATAATAAAGAATATAGATAATATGAATTATAGATATTATGGATAATAGATAATATCGATGTATAAATAATACAGAGAAGGGATTATAATAGAGAATGTAGATCAGATATAATACATATAATGTAGATAATATATATCATAGATAATAGTAGATATCATAGATAATAGAGATAATAGATGATAAGCTTTATAGATCTAGATAATAGATGATAATAGAGAATATAGATGTATAGACAATATAGATAATAGTGATAATGAAAGATAGATGATAATAGATAGTATAGATAATAGATACTGTACATATATAGATAATGGAAAATATAGATAATATGGAAAAAGAGAATATAGATATAGAGAATACAGAAAATAGATGATAATAGATAATACAGATCTATAGAGAATACAGATAGATTATACTAGAGAATATAGATCTATAGATAATATAGCTAATATGGCTATGTAGATAATACAGATTATAGCTGATGATAATAGGTATCATAGATAATATGGATAGTAGATAATACAGATGTATAGATAATACAGATATTGGATGATATTAGAGAATATAGATAATACAGATAATGGATAATATAGACAGATGTAGATATATAGATAATATAGGTGATGATAATAGACTATATAGATATATCTATAATTGATTATATATATAAAATATGGATAATAGACAATATTAACATATAAATAATACAACTAAGGGATTACAATAGAGAATATAGATATATAAATAATGCAGATAATGGATGATAACAGAAAATATAGATAATCTGGAAATGGATAATATAAGTAATAAATGATAATAAATGATAATATATAGTATAGATATATAGATTATGTATCCGTATATATATAAAATATGTAGATAGTACAGATAATAGATTATAATACATAATATAGATAATAGATAATATAGATAATACGGATAATATAGATAATACGGATAATATAGATAACAGAATATAATTAAAGATAATACAGACAATAGATGATAATAGGGAATATACATACTACAGATATAGAGATAATAGATTAGATGGATAATACGGATAATAGATTATAATCCATAATACACCGCCCCCGGCTCGCGCCGGCCCCGCCCCCTCTCCCCACGCCGCCTTGCGCGCGCCCGTTGCGCGCGCCCGCCCTCCGCTCTCGCTCTGCGCACGCGCCGCTCTGAGGCCCGGCGGCGCTCTGGGGGGTCGCAGAGGGCGCGCGGGACCGGCAGGACCCGGAGCTGTGAGGGCGGGAGGGGCCGGCGGGCTGCGGGGCCTCCGCTCCACTCGGCTCCGCTCCACTCGGCTCCACTCGGCTCGGCTCGACTGGCTCGGTTCGTCTGGGCTCGGCTCCGCTCGGCTCGGCTCGGCTCCCAGGGCTGGCAGGGCTCACGGTGGAGCGCTCGGGGCCCGTTCCGTGCGGGGGCTCGTCGGTAAGCCTCCCCCTTTCTCGGGGAATGACCCGTCCTGTGGCTTCTGGAGGGCTGAGCTGAGCTCGGGACAGGGCGGGGCGGCTCGGATGGCCAAAGGCAGCCTCCTGCTGCTGCTGCACCGGTTTTCAGTCCAAAAACGGAGGGAGATTTTGTCCACTGCTTACGGAGCACGATTTTGGGGCTGAATCGTTCCCAGGGACGTGTCCGGTTGAACGAGGTGTTTCACATTAACATTGAAAGGGCCCCAAGTGCTGGGATTTGGGTCTTTCCGGTGATTGCTCAGTGGAAGCTCTTTGGAGAGAGGGGAGTCACGGCAGGTGTGCTGTCCCACACTCGGAGGGCAGGCGGCATCGCTTCCACGTGTGCTCCCAGAGAGCCGCCACCCCTCCGAGGTTGGGACGGGGAGCGGCAGGCGGATTTCTTGGCTGCGCCACGTGGAGGGAATCTCTCGTCCCCCGCCCCGGGGCCTGGCGGGGAGAACCGGCACCCGCTGCTGCCGGTGCCCGGGTGCACGTGCCCGGCGTCCCGGCACTGCCGGGTCCTGCCCGTCCGTTCCTTGTGGCGGGACGGCAGCGGGGGGAGCGGGGCATCCGCGGCTCAGGGGCCGCGGTGCCGCAGGGGGGGGAGTTGGAGGGGCCGGCGGCCCCCCAGGTAAGTGCTCCCCTGCCCGCGGGCGTGCGCTCGAATAGCTGCGTCATCCCTTGGGAGCTGCAGCCCGGGCACGTGTGTTTTCCAAGGCTGGGGGCTCCTGGCCCCTCTGGATGGGGACAGGACAGGATGTTTGGGCAGGAGCTGTGTGGTGCCCTCAGCACTTGCCGTTGGGCAGTCCGAAGAGAGGGTGTTTTATGGCGTTCCCAGGAACTGCTCCAACAGCTGTAGACTTCCCCCTGCCTTCTAAGGCTAAGGATGTGATGACAGCAAGAAGACGATTTGTGGGATTGGAGGCCACTTGCTGCCTTTTGGACAGATGTGTAACTTGTGTAATGGGTGTGTTTCCTAGGAGAAAACATTCCGTAGTAGCCGTATGGTTTCCATAGACACCAAGTGAGTGCCACACCGTAGCGTGAGTCTTCAGGTCCTGCAAGTCCTCCCACAGACTTGGTGAAGTATTGAAGTGTGACTCAACTGCTGGGAGTAAGGATATGTCTGGAAAGTGGTAGTGCTGCCTGCTGAGCCACTGTTTTTAGAGAATAGGGTCCTGTGTGACAGGTAGCAGTCAGTGGACATGGCTTAGTTGCCATGTCTGCCATTGATGGCCACGGCAATCTACAGCTGTGGTTCTTGAAACAGTGGTGGTTTGTGGCTGAAGTACTGCTGTTGGAGAGGGCAGCGGTGGTGTCTGCTGCTGGGCAGATGCCTGGGAGTGGGTCATATCCAGGAGGCACTGTAGGCAACACGAGTAGGATGTTGGAAGATGTGGGATTTCCTTGAAACTTCACCTGTTTGTTAGCTTTCCTCCTGTGGCTCTGAGTCTCTTCTGTAACTTGTGACCCATGTCAGGTGGTGGGATTTCCTTGGTTTGGTTTGGTTTTTCTTGATAAAATGAAAAGGTTGGGTTTTACCACGGGAAGGATTAAGGAGGTTGTAAGAAAAGTTGGAGAGAGTTGTCTAATGTTTTTGTCAGGGCATCCAAGCTGTCTGCTGTCAGCCCAGAAAGGAAGGCAAGCTGCAGGGTTATTCTTGGCAAAGGGATGAAATAACTTTTGTTGTTGATTGGGCCTTTTATCGTTCTTAAAAATGAAGGAAATACTTCCGAAAGACAACGTCGGTCTTGCAGGACGTTTATTTTTGCCAATCTGCGCTCCGGGAGTCCTTGAGGTCCCTGGGAGGTGAGTGGGGGGGGCGCGGCTGCAGTGCCGCTCCCGGCCGTGTCCGCCAGGCGGCGACTGCGAGGCAGCGCCCGGCGGGAAGGAGAGATCGACACGGGAAAGATTCATTTCGGACTTCATAACGACACGCCTTCTTCTGCCTGACTTTTCATCCTCTCTCTCCCCCTGTTGTGCAGAACTTGTCGTTGCCAGCCTGCCTCGCATGAAAACAGATTGGTTTGTTAAGGGGAAATATAAGTACATTGTTTTAGTAGGAAGCCTCGTGCTTTCCATCGAGATAAAGCAGAGGGGTTTTTCTGTGGGGAGAACCTATTTTCTGTTTGGGTTCTACTGCACAAAATCAACATCAATTTAGAGGCCTAGAAGGATGCCTTTAAGATCTTGGATCTTCAAGATCTTGGAGCATGTGACTGTTTCCCTGCACCATCCCCAAGAGGTCTAATCTTGGCACTGGCTGGAATTCTTACTGATTTCTCAGCCTTTTGTTCTGGGCTAGAACAGTTCTGGCAGTGGGAGCAGCTGATGACAGGTGTTTGCCATAGACCCTTGAAAGCCCTCCCAGTCTGTGTTTAATGAAACAGCTTGAGTGTTTTGTCACTGGCTTCTTAGGGCTTAAATCCAGAGTTTGAAACATCCTAAGGATGCCTTGTGGTTGAGGGAATGTCTTCCTGCTGAATTCAGCAGGCATTCAGTGAATTTGGGCTTCTGCAGGTGAATTCAGTCTGGTGTTATGCTTTTGTTTGTTTCCATACTTGGGATAGTGAACCAAATGTTCTTTTTCCCTCACTGTGGGCACTCTGAGGAGACCAAATGTCCAGAACGGTGCCGGTGACTTGGCTGGTGCGCCTGCCAGGCAGAGGACCTGGTTTGGCTCTGTGTGGCCCTGCTCTGGAGGCCGGCAGGGTGCTCTCTGGGTGCCCTGCAGCGCTGCCCCAGGAGCAGAGCAGCCCACGCTGGGCCGTTCCTCAGGGCAGCTCTTGTGCTCTCTCTCATCCTTTGCAGTGGAGGAGCGGGACCAGCTGCAGAGCCCGTTGCGGCCGAAGTGGCGCGAGCTGGTGCCGGCTGTGCCAAAGCAGAGGAACCGCCCGGGCCGCTGGAGGTGCTGAGGAAGGGCCGACGAGTTGGTGGTTACTGGGACAACCCGTGGGCTATAGCTGAGCTCCACCCGCCACCTGTCCAAGGAGCTGCAGGTAATGGAAAGCTGGCTTGTGACCCCCAACTCTTAAGAGCTCCAGAGACAGCCGGGTCCTTTTCTGAGCTCGTCGGAAAGAAACGCCACTGCTCCCGTTCCTGCCGGGCCCGTGTGGCTGCCTACCCGAAAGTTCCTTTGTTTTTCTTTTCCTTGCTTTCCCCTCCTGCCCCACTGCTCAGTGCATTTCTTCAGCTGAGGAACAAAGTGAAGTGGGAGCAGAATGCCGGGCTGCAGCACCAGAGGGAGCGTTGGAAGGAGCGCAGCTTGGAGGTGGCGGTGCTGGAGAAGCGTGTCAGTGAGCTGCCAGAGCGCCTGGGGAAGAGAAAGGCAGCTCTGCCCCAGGAGGAGAAGGTACCAGTAAGTGCGGGAGATATCCTAACGACAACAACGTGAATTTTGTTGCCTGGACAACCCTGAAGTAAAAACTTGCTTGTGGGGAGGGCGAGCTGTTCAGATGCTGGACCTGTTGTCTTGATCCACATGTAGTGGAAGGCTTGTGGCATTAAAGTCCTTTTCATGGGGCATTAGTGTTAACCTGCTTACTCTGTACAGACAAGAAACCTTTCTTTGCTGTCGTGGGTTGTTTTTTAATAAGGGGTTTTTTTGTTTGATTTTTTTTTTTTTTGCTATTTCTACCTCAGGTTTATAATTCTTAAAGGTTTTTCAAAAAAGCCTCTTTAACATTGAGGTATCATTTACTGCTTGTTTTCTCCTTTGTGACTTCTGTTTCAAGCTCTGATGGACGAATCCTGTGGCATAAAATTCTTGACGTTTTCATTTTTTTTTTTCTTTTTCCCCCAAGGTTTCTTCAGGTGGGATTTCCCCACAGCCAGTGGCTTCTGCTCCAAGGGGAGTGGCAGCAGTAGGTCCTTCTGTCCAGTCCTCTACTATTGCTTCCAGACCGGACCTTTGGGTGAAAGCAGCATTCTCAGGTGGGACACGAGCCTTGCTGGGCAGCTGAGGGGCTGCTAAAATCACAAACTCCACCCAACATGGGAGCTGGGAACAGTTCACAAGCTGAAGCTCCTGCAGGTGAGAGCTTACGATAACTAGTTCTTCTCCGGACATGTTTTGGTTCCCCTCACAGCTCTGTTTTGGTGTTTCGGGTTCTTTTTTCTGTTTGTTTTTAAAGCAAAGACTTATTTGCGATGTGGGTCTCACTACTTGCAATTTTTTTTTTTAGTTCTCTTAGTGAGCAATCTGAGTTGTTAGACAGCGTGGACTGCAGAAGGATTTTTCAGTAAACTGATTGTTTTTTAATTTATTGTAAAGCTCTCCTAAAAACTCCACACTGGTGTGCGTTCACTGCACCTGCACTGGGGGCTGCAGGGAGAAGCAGCTGGGGGGGGGGTTTGCTCTCTGCCCCTTTCCCACCTTCCCCTCTGTTCCCTGGGTCTCCAGGAAATCCCAGCTCCCCTTGGCTTCTCCAGGGTCCTCGCAGCAGGGTTTCTAAGTGTGGCCCTGAGATTTTCTGGCCTTGGAACTGATGGCTGTTTCGGGGCAGGTCTCACCGGGCAGTCTGTCTTTTAACGCTTGCCGGGGCAGGAGAATTGCGGCGGAAGAAAGCAAAGGAAGCCCAGAGCCTGGAGGAGGCAGGTGCTGATTGTGCCCGGGGCTTGTTCCTCACCGTTCGGTTCCAAAGGAGAGGGGAGCAAGAGGCAGAACAGCCCGCTGCTGCTGGGGCTGAACTGTGTGCAGTGCCCGGGGGCCGGGCAGGACTTGGCCCCGATGCCTGCATTGCTCTGCGGCGGCCAGGGACGGGTCCCGAAAGTCATCCCCCCGCGTGCTGTGCTGCACAGCAGGGGCTGGGTAGCCCGGTTCCCGGCCGGGGGACCCCGGGGAAGGCCGTGCTGGGGCTGAGGGGCTGCTGCTCTCTGGGCCTCTCGGGGTTTGCCTTGGAATCCCAAAGCCTGTGCCTGCGCAGGGGGGAGGAGGCAAAGGTGACTGTAAATTGGTTTGTTGTGGAGTGTTTTGGGGCCGAGTTCATGCTCTTGGCTTGTTGTGTGTGTGTCAATTCCCAGCCTCGGTCAGGGCTTCCTGGGGAGCATTGCTGCTGCTGCTGCTGCTGCTGCTGCCGCCGCTGCCGCTGCCGGGAGAGAGAAGTCCTTTGGGAAGCCGGGACAAAAACAGCAACTCTGTGAATTGCTCAGCTTTCCCTAGGGAAGGGCAGGTTTTAGGGAAGAAAGACCCGTACTCGCAAAAGGCGCCGCGGGTCTCGCCAAGGGGGGGGGGGGGGGGGGGCGGCAGTGCCGCCCCCGGCCGTGTCCGCCAGGCGGCGACTGTGAGGCAGGGCCCGGTGCTCGGGGGCGGGCTGGGAAGCGACGCCCGTGGGGAAGCGGCAGTGTTTTGGCCCTGCCGAGCATCTCCGAGCTTAAATCCGGAGTCGAAGGCGTCCTAAGGATGCCTTGGGGTTGAGGGAGTGATGCCTTCAACTCAAGACAGCACCTGCTCCTTAGTTACGAAAAGTTCCTCCCAGGAAATTTTCAGGCGTGCCCATAGATCTCCTCCCTGTTTGTTTGGGAGAACAGGGTTTTCTCGTCTATAACAGAATAGTCGTGGCATTTGCTATTGAATGCTGGTGGCAGTCTAGTCAGAAGAGGACCCCGTGCTTCACTAATTTTCCCTTTTTGTCCTTCGGGGTGACTTCTTACCAGGGATGTTATTCTTGACCCCCCGGGGCAAACAGAGGTGTTCACCTGGTCAGCGTCAGGAGCCATCCTAACTGAGGCCCTGGTGGGTAAGTGCTTTTCGTGTGACTGGACGGCGAAGCTGTCTGTGTGAATGACCTGGCTATTGGTCAGTGCAGTCCTAATTAAGGTGTCTTTTACTCCGTGTTCCCAGGCTCCCTCTTTCCCTTCGGTCGCCGTGGATGTGCCGGACGCCTCTGGCAGGACTAACCCTGTGGCTTTTATGTCCAGCGTGCCGTGTGCCTGCAGGTAAGAAAAGCTGGGAGTGCAGTCCCTCTGCTTTGATTGCTGTGTCTCTTTGGTAGGGATTTTGGAGGGGAATCCCAGAGCGATTTGGTTTGAAGGGGACCTTCAAAGGCCGGCCCGTCTTCCGTGGGCAGGGACACCTTCCACTGTCCCCGGTTGCTCCGAGTCCCGTCCAGCCCGGCCTGGAACACTTCCAGGGATGGGGCCACCTCAGCTTCCCTGTGCAGTGTGCTCTTAATATCTCTCCACTGGCATCATGAAAAATTTTGTCAGTATGTCCCTTTCAGTTTAAAACCATTATCCCTTGTCCTATCAGTAGAAACCTTGGTAGAAAGTCTCTTCATTTTTCTCATAAATCTCTTTATTTACTGGAAAGCTGCAGTAAAACTTCCCTGAATCTTCTTGTGGGGTGGAGTGGGTCAGAGGGACACGTTTCTCTCCTCCTGGCTGTTGCATTTGCTCCCTGGGCACTGGCTCTTTTTCCCACTCCACTCTGGTCCTTGCCGTGTCTGCTGGGAAGAGTGGAGAGGAAGGGGCGAAGGTGAGCGTGGGGTCCCTGAGTTGTGGGGTTGGGCTGTGCTGAGAGGGGCAGGTGGGTCCCCGTTGGTGAGCCTGAGCCTTGGCTTGGGGGTTCAGGAGCCCAGGGGACCAAGCTGGGGGGTGTTTGCAGCTCTGCCAGGGCTGGAGCTGACACAGTGCTGGAGGAGAGCCTGGAGCTGGGCTGGGCTGTGGGACAGGTGCAGTGGAGCTGGGGGAGGGTTTGGGACTCCCTGGGGAGAAAGGAGGGATGGATGGGCTGGATGGAGCCACAGGCATGTGCTCCTGGGAACACACTTGTCCAGGACGCTGGGATCTGGGTCAAACTCCTCATGTCCAGGGATGCAGGGTCTGAGGGATTGGATTTCCCAGGGGGAAAGGAGACCAGAAGTGAGAGGAAATGTGGTGCCAGAGCAGGCTGTGTTTGCCTCTGAGGACAGAGAGCCTGTGGGCTGAGGTGAGATTGCTGTTAGTGTTGGGATGAGCATTCCAGGGAACGGGGAGCTTGGAATTCCAGGTGCTGATGGAACCATCGCCTTAGGTGTGTTTAGTTTGTGTTGGTGGGAGCTGGGATTCAGGCTGGAGAGCTGTTGCTGGAAACAAAGGGTGGAGAAAACCTGTTCCACAGATGTGTAAGGAAGGATGGAGTAGCAGTGAAGGAGAGTATTTCTATACAGTATCAATATTCTCCATGTGAGATGGAGCAGCGATGGGGGTGGTTGGGTTTGGCCTGGGCCGGTCAGGATCTGCCATAAACAACCCACCAGACCCTGAACCCTCACTGGACATGTCCAGCCCCTCAGCAGAAACCCAAGTTGTTCATTTGTTACAGAGTCTTGCGTCAGTTTCGCTTTTCTTTCTCGTAGCTGACCAAGTCAGTGATTGCAGGACCCTCTGAGCCAGCCGGGCGTCCTTCCTTCCCATTGAAGATGGATTCACACCCCCGCCTATGGGAAAGATAAGTGGAGGACTATCACCTGGAGAGGGGATGAGAGCTGGGTCCAGTTTTATGGTTAGGAGGGAGGGATTTTCAAATTAGCATAGGGGAAAGGGTCTGCCCTAAGAGGCCCTCGGCACACATAGGAGGAGCACTTTACTTTTCATCACTGGAGTAGAATGTGCAGGGCAGAGTCGTTCAGGTCTGTGTTGTGTCCTTTGTCCAGTCTGTGATTTGTGTATTAAAATTCACAATCACAGTTCACAATCGTTGCACCACAGCACTTGTCTGGAAATGTGTCACTGGAGTTTGTGTTTGCCCTGGAACTGCTCTGTCCTGCAGTGTAGACTTGAGGATAGGTGGAGTAGGAAAGAGACTTTACAAGTAACCTGTGATAGGCTTAGCCACTCAGGGCAGCAGTTGTCCGGTCCTCCCGGAGGCAGCCCCTGCCCGCAGCGTGTGTGCAGTCACGAGAGCGGGCTTTTCTGGAGACAATGGGAGCGGTACAGCAGGGCCTTTAAGTTAAGTCAGTGTTTGTTTGTGCAGGTTGTCTTCAGACCCCAGATGGCTTGTCTAAAGAGAAATTAGAATTGCACAGCAGTTAAAGTCCCTCCATTTATATGGCTGACTTTGGTAACTCATTTCTTTGCAGTGTCAGAGGGACTGGATGTAAAGCAGAGATAAAAAGAAGAGGCTGGAGGAGCACAGTCAGAAGGTGGGTTCTCATGTGAGGTCAGAGCCAAGACGTTACTTTTGGCCCTAGGTTTACCTGATCATTTGGATGGTTTGGTGGCTTAGTTTTGTGGTTTGGGGTTTTTTTTAAGATGCGGAGCCCTCTGCCCAGCAGACGATAGGCACCAGAGGGAAGGTAAACCCGGTGAGCAGTGACTGCAGGACAAAACTAGATGCTCTTTTGTAGGTAGGGTACTTGTGGTGAATCTGCATACATACTTGGTTTTTTGTTTTACAGGCAATGCACCGACATCTAACGTGCAGTCCAACGTGAGGGGGACCCTGCCTGTAAGAGGTCACGGTCAAGGGGTGTCAGACAGAAACTGCCATGGGAGCAGCATACTCCTGGACAGTATCTCAGTACTCAGATTTGCCTCTGGGTTTTTTTTGCAGGAGACATACGCAACCTCATAGGGCTGAAGCCAACTCACAAGGAGGTTAGGGCCTCTCGAGATGTCCTTGTAGGTAAGCTCCGAGTATTAATAGAATCACCAATGAAGCGTTGACCTTTTTTAAATGCAGGTGCCATCTGGCTAACCTTTGGGAGCAGATGAGCATTCTAGGAGAGTTGGGGAGGCAGCAGGAGGAGCGGGAATCCACTGCAGCTTTAGAGATGCCCTCTAATTTTTTCTCTCACTCACTCAGGTATCCCAGAAGATGAGAGCCACAGTGTCCAACTCCGGTCAGAGCCAGTGCCCCGAGGACCTGCCTCGGTGACAGCGAGTAGAGGGATCATGGGGG